TTCTGTCAGTAACTGCTTAGCTCTCTAGAAATTGTGAGTCTATGAGTGCAAAAGGCCTCCTGATTTTTATAAAACAAAAGCTAGCTCTTTGGAAGGTAAAATATTTCCAGTGAAGTGATCTCCTTTTCAAACATTAAATAACAAAGATTGGTCTTTTCTAAATGTTTCGTCTATGCAACATCTTTAACACTTTAATTGATTTGAAATGATCTTGGCCTTGTAAAGTATGCTCACTAAATGGTGAGGGTTTTTTGTTGTTGTTGTTGTTGTTTCTTCCTTTGAGCCAGTGTAAGCATTTTACAACACCCTGGCTCTTTGAAAAGCAGGACCCACACACCCTACCTATGAGTTGGCACACAGCCAAGAAAGTCCTTTTGTGTGTGTTCGTGGTGAATCATTCATACCCTGTAAGATCTATCAAAATAGCTTTGTTTGAAAACCTTGTTTTCCCTATCTTTTTTCATGATGACTCAGACTTCAGAGCTTTCATGTCTAAATTCTCTTTTCTTTCTTGTCTCTCATCATGTTCATTCAGAAGATGTTCTTTCACTGGTTCCAAAATTTGTATTTCTATATTCTGTCAGTTTTCATCTTGAAACACACACAGAGCAATATGCTCTGAATCATAAAATTCTGCATTAAATCTTAAGACTTAAAAAATATTCTCAATATAGGTTTACCTGCACTTTTATTTCCATTCTTATTTAGTACAAATTCACTAACATTTAAATTCATCATTTAGGCAACTCATAGCTGCATTTTAATGTTAGAAAGGCTTTGGCTAGGGCTGAATGTGTGACTCAAGCAGTAGAGCACCTGCATTGTAAGTATGAGGTATAGAATTCAAACCCCAGTACTGTCAAAAAGAAAGCTTTTGGCTGCAAGGAACATAAAACCAATGTCAACTGGCTTCACCCGAAATGAAACTTAAAACTTCACGAACCGGAAAGTATGGTAGTATATATTTAGTTGAGTAAGTACATCAATAATGGCCTCAAGGACTCAGATTCTTCCCATCCTTCTCTGTTGTGATTCTCTTCTTTTAAGCTGGCTTTATTGAGGTATATATATATATATATATATATATATATATATATAATACATATATATATATATATAATAAAATTCATCAATTTTTAGGGAGGTATAATTATGTAACCACTACTCCAACCAAGAACTTGAACATTCCTATCAATCCAAAAAATTCCACTTGCCCTTTGTAGACAAACTCAGCCCCTCAATCCAGACCCTCATAATTTCAGATAAATGGAACTATGCAACATGTTCTCTCTTACAACGTCTTTCTTTCATATAACATTGTGCTTTTGAGATTCATCCAGGTTGTTATTCATATCAGGAGTTTGTTCCTTTTTATTGCTAAGTGATATTCCACTGCATAAAAGATATAATTTGTCTATCTGTTCAACAGTTGTTGGGGATGTGTTTCTAGTTTTTTGCTATTATGCATAAAACTGCTTAGTAAACCTTCACATAGAAGTCCTTATGTAAATATAGGTTTATGTTTCTTTTGGGTAAATATTTAGGAACATGAATTTTGGGTAATATGGTAATTATATGTTCAACATTACAGAAGTAGCCCCTTGTCACTGAAATGCAAAATTCCAGAAATACACAATTCAAAAGTTTTAAATTGCATGTCTTTCTGAGTCATGTGATGAAATCTTTTTCTGGGGTGGTGGTGGTTTGAACTCAGGGCCTTGAGCTTGCTAAACATTCCTTTTTGCATTGGTTATTTTTGAGATAGCCTAGACCACAATCTCCTATTCATGCTTTTTGGTGTAGCTGCAATGACAGGTGCATGCCCCCTCACCTGGCCATTGGTTGAGATGGAATCTTGCAAACTTTTTGCCCAGTCTGGCCTGGCTCAGTGATCTTCCTAATCTCTGCCTCCTGAGTAGCTCATATTACATGTTTGAACCACCACACCCAACCATGAAATCTTAAGGTCTAGTATATTCATTCAGTATTCACTGTCTCCCTATTAGTCACCTAGCTGTCTAGGTTATTAGATTGACTATTGAAGTATTATAGTGCTTATTTTCAATTAATCCTTACATAGTATCCTAATGCAATGTCACAATGTCAACACCATTCACCTTACTTCATCTCATCATATAGACATTGTGTCATCTTGCATCATCACAAGAAAAAGGGTGACTATAATACAATAAGATATTTTGAGAGAAAACACATTAAAATAACATTTTATTATGAGCTATCATTATAATGGTTCTATTATTATTGTTAATGTCCTGCTATGCCTAATTTATAAGTTAAACTTTATAGATATGTCTATATAGGAAAAAAATCATAGTATATATAAGGTTTGGTGCTATTTGTGATTTCAGACTTCTACTGAGAGTCTTGGAATGTATCTTCTGTGGGCAAGGGGTGCATGCTGAACAAGAAAACTGTCTTCCAAAGTGGCTATACCACCACTAACACTATTACAAAGTTCCAGTTGCTCCATATTCTTGCTGACATTTGATAACTCTTGTTTAAAGAGCAAAATTTAAAAATTTTAATGAATCGATTTGTCAGTTTAAGTGTCCCATTTCTAAATCCACAAATTCAAGGATCATAATGTTTTTCTCCTAGGTTTTTTTTTCCAAAAATTTTATATTTTTAGCTCTTCTACATAGTCTTAGGTTTATCATCAATTTCCCATTAATTTTTAGGTAGACTATGAGTTAAGGGTTGAGGCCTTTTGCTTTCTCTTCCTCCCTCCCTCCTTCCTTCTTTCCTTTGTTCCTTCCTTCCTTCCATCATGTTTGTGTATGTGGATAGCCAAGTGCTCTAATATCATTTGTTGAATGTTCCCTGGTGTATTAGATTTGCACTTTGTCCTACCTTCATGGTCATAAGATGACTGCAGTTGTTCTAGGCAGAAGAGTATCCAGAAGAGACCATCTCTTTCTAGGAAGTGCCCAGGAAACTTTTTGTTCATCTCTTATTACCTATTACCTAGACCTCACACATTCTTATTACTTACTGTCTGACCCAATCTGGAAGTGGAAATGAGGCTGCCATAATTCATTTATTTATCCAACAAGAAATTAATACGTTTTCTATATCCATTCTAAGGACTGGAGATACAGCAGTAACTAAAGGAGGTGAAAGGTTCTCTGCCCTTATGAAACATACAATTTATTGAGGAAGTCTGTCTGTTGTCAAAATAAACAAACTATGTAGTATGTTGTACAGTAATAAGTGCTAGGAGGGAAAAGAAGAAAGGAGGCTGTGCAGTATTCTGAGTAGGTTGAAATTTTAGGTGGGATGGGTATGAAAGGACTTACTGTGTTGACTTTTGAATAAAGACCTAATGAAAGTGATGGAGTAGGCCATACAGCTACCAGATTGAAGAATGGTCTAGGCAGAAGAAAAAATGCAAAGGTCCTGAGGACATCAAGGAGGCCACTGTGATTGGAGAGATTAAGTGTAGATGGGGAGAGATGCACAGCAGGTAGATCATTATGGGTAAGTTGTTCTCAAGCAGATGCGATTTGGCAAAATTAGTAATGTCTGGGGGCATTTTGGTTGCCCGCCCCCCACAAGGAATTTTCTGGCCTATCTGTAGTGTCAGTGTTAAGAAATATTGTTTTAGGTCATAGTAAGGACTGGTTTATACTGAGTAAATTAGAATGACACTAAAGTGTTTCAAGTTCACACATTATTTCAATTAAGCTTTGAAATGATAACTTGGCTGTTTGTTAAAGTAGAGCAAAGAGAACAACAGACAACAGGGATTAGGAGATTTACTATAGTTTTCAGGACAAGAGAATATGGTTTGGACCAGGATGACAGCAGTAGGAATGGGAAGTGGTGGATTCTGGATATATTTTGAAGGTTGAGCTAATGGGATTTAGTAACATACTGGATATATATGTCTAAAAGACAGAAGCTTTGAATAATCTGCTGTGACTGGTGCTGAAGAAAGTGCCTTGGAAAAGTGGTGGAAATGTGAATTTATTTAGAAGTGGTGGAGGGAGGCATTTCCCATGTGGATATTAGGAGAGGCAACTAGTAACATTCTTTTACATAGATACCTTATGAAAATAAGAATGAGCATTGTTGGTTATAGCTACTTTAAATGACACAATTACAGACTAAATTTCTTTTAAAATGTTTTATAATGCTAGTATTGAGGGGTTTTGTTTGTTTGTAAGTTTTCTCAAGCCTCTTTCATTTTGGTGACAATTTGGTAGATGTAGGAACTCTCAATTCCTTATTCAGCCAATCATTCAAGGACATTCAATGTTTAAAAGCATTTGCATTCCAAACAATTAGGGACCCCGTTTCCAGGTAGAGCATTGATGTATTATTTAATAATTGTTTTCTGAGCATTTGTTTTGTTTACTCTAAAATGTTATAAACTCACTGTAAGTCCTTTATGTGTTAGAAAACTACTTAATATGTTTATTTCACTCAGATAGTGGTCATAATAACCTCGTAACCTAGTAACTAGGATTGTTTCCATTTTCAAAAAGTTTGAAGTTTACTAAGATATCTTTTAAAGATTATCTAACAGATAATCTGGCAGAACCAGGCCCTCAGCCAGCCCAAGGAGGTAATAGCTGTGTCACAGATCTTCCTGTCCACATGCTTCCCGGCTCTGGCTCCTGGGGTCCCGGAGGGTTTTGGTGAGAGTTGGGTCAGGCCTGAATACTTTGGGGGCTGTGGGTGCTCAGGTCAGGGTACAGGAGACGGCAATTCTTCCTTTACAGTGCACGTGGTGGTCATTTTGCTCCAGACGGATCTCACGGCTTCTCAGCGGGAGAGGCAGAATGGAAACCACCAGTGCAGGTTCGTGCAGCCCCGCCGGCACTTCCAGGACTGGTCCGGGGCGTGGACCGCGAGGCCCGAAGGCTCGGGGCGGGGTCTCTGAGGGCGGGGCTTGGGACATGTGGGAGTGGCTGGGGGCGGGGCCGGCGAGGTCCACGCCAGCCCGCGCGGCGCAGGCCCCTCCCAGAGTACGACGAGGCGCGGCAGAGCCGGGTGTAGGAGCTGGAGCGTGGCCTGACTTCGTCCCAACTCGAAGTGAGAAAGAACCGGGCGACCGATCAACTCTCCGGTGCCGAAGACGGGCCCGGGCCGGAGGAGAGGGTGGACTCTGTGTGTCGCCACGCGGGGACGGCGGAGGGAGGCGGGAGGTTGGTCGGGGTGGCCCGCGGCCTGCGGTCCCCGGGAGTCTGGCAGGGCGCTGGTGACAGGCCCCTGGGTGCCGGCTGTCCCCGGAACCCCGTGTCCAGCGCTGCTTCGTGCTGGGGGAAGTGAGCAGAGCAGAGCGGGGCGTCCCGGGCCGGGCGCGGGAGGGGCGCTGCTCCCGGAGGCGGGGTGACGGGACGAGCGTGCGCCGTGCGCCTCCTTCCTGTACCGCCTCAGGCCTCGGAGTCCCAGGCTGCAGGGGCTCCTTTCTGTTTAGAAGCTCGGGCTCACTCCACAGTTGTTTAGAAGAGTTCTAAGTTTAAAATGCGCAAACTTCTCTCGGGCACTGGTATACAGACTGTACCGGTTCAGAGGAACCCCTATAAAACCCCTCCTACTGTAGGATACAGGGCCTTCCTCCGGGATCACCCCTCCCCTTGGGTTTCCGGAGTTCTGCTCAGTTCCCTCTCTAGATGGGACATGGGTGGGGTTATGTAAGTGATACAGCACGGCATTGCATCCAGTAATTGAAGGAGGGACAAACCTGTTAAAGGGAACTTTCTCATACACAAGATGGGAAAGTTATATGAAGACAACTTTATGTTTAAATAATTTGAATATTTATAAGTAATTTTCATATCAAAAGCACTCAACAGTTTTTTAAAAAAACCCTTTAGGATCCTGGTTACCTTCACATTTAGCTTCAGGGATTTATGCAGAAGGATGTGTGCATGTGTGAGTGTGTAGTTCCTCTAAGAAATGTTCTCTTTCAGAATCTTCGGTTCTGAAACTTACTAACCTATGTGCAATTACGATTAAAGATTTAAGAGTTGTATGGCTGTCTCATGGAGATGATGCGTTTGTTTTTGGCAGCACGGGGTGCAGCTGCAATCTCTAAAGCAGAGCTGTTTTGACTTGAACGAAGAGAGAGTACTAAGGCGAAAAACAGTAATAGTTTGCCAGCTCTGAAACTGTAGCTGAATGCTAAATTTTATATTCACAAAAATCTCTTGCTCATTTAACAAATGTTTACTGAGTACCTGCTCTGTCAAGGTCTTTGCTTGGTGGTAATGATGCACACCACCATTGTCTTATGTCTTCCTAATTCAAAACCATATTCTTTCCTAGTAACCAAAGACCTTCTTATCTTTTAACAACCCATTCTCAATGAAGGGAGTATTTGCATGTGTATGATTATTTCTTCCTGATTGTTGGAAATTGTCAAATTCTTGTTTTTTAAGGTGTATTCTGCAGAGTTAATATGTATCATAGACCCCCTATATGAATTTTTTAAATGGGTGTTTTAAAGTAACCCAACGGAATGGTTTGTTTTAGTTTCATAATATCAGTGCCTCTTAGGTTTCAAATTTGTAATATATGTGTGAATTTCTAACTTGAATGTGAAGTGGGTGGGCTTCCCCAAAATTGAATTGACTTCAGAATCCTAATCTTAATCCTGGGAAGGTTTCCATAGAAGACATTCTGGGAAATGTGTTTTAAATCTACAGTTTTTTGTTTTGTTTTTATTTTTAACCATTTATTTTACCCCTTCTGCCAACAGCAGTGATGCCACCAAGAAGAAATGAGAAATATAAACTTCCTATTCCACTTCCAGAAGGCAAGGTTCTGGAAGATATGGAAGGAAAACAATGGGTGCTGGGCAAGATGATTGGCTCTGGAGGATTCGGATTGATATATTTTGGTAAAGCATAATTGTAAATTACTGAGTATTCTTATATATGTTACTGTAACTGTAATGAGCTGAAACACTGAAGTGATAGGAATTCATTAATGTACTTTATTAAGTAAATTATTATTTTGGCTGAACTGGGCTTTGAACTCAGGACCTTGCTGTTGTCAGGCAGGTACTCCACAATTTGGGCCATGCTTCCTCCTCTTTATTTTTCAGATAGGGTCTCGTGTTTTTTGCTCAGGGCCAGTCTCAGTCTGTGATCCTTTTACCTATGACCACCTGCATAGCTCGGACTACGGATGTACACTACCACACCTGGCTTTTTGATTGAGATAGGATTTCATTAACTTTTTGTGTGGACTGGTCTTGAACCATGATCCTCCAGACCTCTGATTTTTGAGCAGCTAGGATTATAGGCATCAGCTGCTGTGTCCAATCTGTTAAGTAATTTAAAAATAATTAATGTTTAGTACATTAAGTAAACATTAGGTTTGAGGCATGATCGACATGCTTCCTGTTGTCCATATTTTTTCTCAGTAACTCTTAGAAGTCTTTTTAGAGCATCATTGGACAATCTGCCAGGCAAAATGTAAATGTTCTGTTTATGAGAACTTGTTTTGCTAGAGACACTGGTTTTTACAGCTCATAAACTACACCTGTATAAATATAAACACTTTCTGTTTGTAAATCTTATCATTAATATTTAGGTATTACAAGGGGCTAATTGTTTCTTAACTATGCTCCACTGGAGAATTAGGCTTTAATAGCTTAAAGTATCTACTGAATGGAATGAATGAACTTCTCTTTTGTGCATCTAGAGTTATATTTCATGCTTGGGATAATTGAGAAAATAGATGTTCAGATTAACTTTTCTGTGTTCTGTGGTACAGGTAGGGTACCCTGGTTGGGTATACGTCTACATTGCATTTAAGTCAGTCTCTCTCTCTCATTCTCTCTCTCATTCTCTCTCTCTCTCTCTCTCTCTCTCTCTATGTATATATATATATATATATATATATATATTTCTGAGCTTCATGATTTCCAGCACCAACGCCCCCAAAATCAAAACAAAACCAAAGGATAAGTTCTCTTAGATATATTGGTGCATATTACATCTTTTTATAGGAACTTTCAAAGTTGATAAAAGACCTACTTTGGAGGGATCTTGATTCCTCATCAAATATTTCCAAACAAACATATTTCCTGGATTATGAAGGACAAAGATCCTCTTCTCGTAACACTAAGATTATAGTCTTGAATAAATGAATGAAATGCAGTTAACAAGCAACTGTTTGTTAATTACCTGTCTCTAAACTAATTGGAGATAAGAGTAGGCCCCAAAATTGTATGGGCTAAGTAAAAGACAGTTTCCCAATTTAAAGCTGAAACTTAGCTTTCTTCAAAATTGCTGTGATTGTGGCTGGGCATGGTGGCACACATATGTAATCCAGCACTCCGGCTGAGGCAGGAGGATCTCAAGTTTAAGGTCAGCCTGGGCTATATAGCGAGATCCTATCTCAAAGTTTGAAAGAAACAGGTGAAATATATTTTAATAGACATTATTAGATTTAACAGAACCCAAACAGTATCGTTTCAACAAGCAAGTATTAAAAAATAATGAAATATTTTACTTTTTAAGTGAAAGTCTTCAAAATCCAAGAGGCATCTAGTCTCAAAGACCCAACACCATATGTAGTTAGTGGCTACCATCTGAGACAGCACAGTCCTAGTGAATACTTGGAGTCCGGAAAGAGTAGAATTCCCTACAGAATAAATATTGTCTGAGACTTGGAGTTAGTGAATTATTTTTTATAGCAAAGTTTTAAGATCTTTAATGTACTGTCTTGACTCAAGATCAGAGACAAAGTTGAATAAGTAATTTTTAAAGTGGCTGAATTACAGCCTTGGAAACTACAGCTTACCACTTACATGTTTAGTTTCCTTTCTTTTTTTTCTTGGCAGTACTGGAAGATTTGAACTCAGGGCTTTGCCATGCTTCCAGTCTTTTTTGCTTTAATTTGTTTTTGATAGGTCTGGCACTTTTATCTGGCTTAATCTCAGACTCTAATCTTCTTGTCTCCTCTCCTTAGTAGCTGGGATTAAAGATAAGTACCACCAAGCCCAGCTTGTTTTTTGAGATAATTTTGCCTCTTTCTATTTCTGCCTCCTACATCTTTAGTTTTCTAATGTTTGAATTATTTGAGTTATTTCAAAGAACTGGAGAAAAGCACTGACTCTAATGATCTTGTCCTTTTTTTGCTTCTTAAAATTAAATACTATTTATATTAATAATAAGTCTATGTTTATGATTAAACATGTGAGTAAATATATATGCATATATGTGTACACATATGGAGATACGTATATACATACTCACTACTTGGCTCCTGTCATGAAAAGGAGTATTTGCTCAAGCAAGTGATGTATACGTTCTTATTCAAATGCAGAAAAGCCCCTGGTTCTTTCAATTTAAGTATTTTTTTATTTGTATTTTCTCACTACCAAAATAATATTTTACAACGTATTTCAAGTTTCAATATGTTATGTAGCACCCTTCTTAACTGAGTTTTAGAATCTGAACCCTAGGAAGATCAGCAAGTACACACCATTGAAGAAAGACTTTAAAAGAAATATTTAGCTGTCTTGAGGAAAAAAGGCACCATTCTTCAGAATATATAATGAAGCTGTGTGTTCCAAATGCTGTCATTGTTCTATCAGAAATGGTGCCAATAAATCACAGAATCAGTTTACCTTCATGAAACTTAGTTTTTCTGATTATTTTCAAAGTTATAGGTACACATCTATAAGAAACTATATCATTTTGGCACTTTACCATGGTTCATATCACTTCTTATACATAAATAAAGAAGCAGTTAAATTCAAGTTTTCCTGAATAACTGTGTCCAGTCACATTCTTCTCAGCTGTTATTCTTCCCAGATACACTGCTTTGGCAGACTTTTTATCAGTGTCGTTGCCTCAGGCTGAGAAGACAGTAGCCGCTGTGTCTAACTCATTGTGCATGTACAACTGTCCTCTGGCTTTGAGATCAATAGCCTACCTCTTTCAGTAATCAGCCACTTACAATAAAAGGGAAGGGGCAGAGAAGTTCGGTATTTACTCTTGGCTTGGAGAAATAATGTGCCTGTAGCATTAAGAGAAATAGTTGTATGAGGGAAAAGGCTGAATATAAGAACAAAGTCAAGGATCTTTCTTTGTATGTGAAAAGAGAGGAGAAAAAAGGAAGAAAGCCAACTGGTTTAGGGTATGGGAAAACTTGCTGTCATTTTAGTATCAAATAAGTGAAAAAGTTTCTGAAACTGCAGGGAAAGAAAGAGAACTGAAGGTTTCAGTTCTACTTTAATGCTAGGTATAGCATAGAACATTATTTCTTATTTAAAGCTAGGAATAACCAGCCCAAGGGAGAGCAGAATGAGTAAGCATAGGTTTGGTGTAGGTAAGTCTGTGCTGAATCCCGACTTGTGACTAACCCACTTACAAACTGACTGACTTTGACTTAGTTAAGGCTTAGTTTCTGTTCATAATAATTATGAAGATTAAATAAGATGATTTTTTAAAGGAACATGGAACTTAGTAAGCACCAAATAAATGTTATATTTATTTAGAATTTCCCATTCTAAATATCTGGTGTTGTAGTGGATTAGGATAGGGACGAGGACTTCATTGGGAGGATTTTTTGCTTATCCTGCCATAGACTGTGGTGAATTCAGCTACTAATATAAAACTAGGAATATAGAGAATATCCACAATGATTTTATGATGTCTTATTTGCTAACTTTTTTCTGTTCCCCACTAAAACTTAACTACAGTCACATAATGAACAGTGACACTGTCACTTAAACTTAGCTTGTCTGCTTCAGATATGAATGATATACTGGGTTTCAGAAATGATTTAAAATTCAGAAAAGCAGAGGTATAGGATAAACTCCAAATTCCCTTGAAGACTTCTTCAACTATGAGTAAAAATAGATATTGGTTATCTGTAAAAGTTTTAGGTTTTTGAAGTGAGGCATAGTGATGACCAGTTAGCATCTTTGGAGTGTTAAGCACAGGGTAGATGCCTAACAGCTATTCATTGGAGGGATTGGGGCTGCGATTAGGGAACTTAACCTATACAAGCCAGTTTGCTTTGTTCTCTTCCATAATTATAGATTTCACCCTTGGTCCAGTCTTCTGTTTTACAGATGAGTACCCCATTCACAAAGAAGGTTGAGACAAGGTAACTTTCATGTTGTCATCTAAAACTATGAGCATATGTGTGATTGACAGTAGATCAATGCCATTCTCTTTTATAAAGAATAACACATCATAACTAAAATTAGCTGTGGAAGGCTTAAGGTTGGACCATTTATTCATGGAGAAGTGTTTAGACTTTATCCAAGTGACAGTCAGATATTTTTGGGTCATGCTGTTAGATTAGACTAATTTTGCTCTTTAGAAACATAGAAGGAATCTTTTTTAGGAGAATTTTTACACATTTTCAAAAATTCATTTATCAGCGAGGAAACATTTCTATTTATGAAGAAATACAAAAATGTGTTTAGTTTTATTTTTTAGTTGTCTGTAATGGATTGAATTTTTTAAGGTATGCAGAATAATATTTAGAAAAGCCTGATGATAATGCTAGGGACAGGTAGAGGTATTATAACACACACTGCTTTATTACACATTATGGTATTCATATTATTTTGGCAATGTTTTGTAGAGAGGGCTTTGAGATAAGCAGTTAAGATCATGGGAATAAAAAGAGAATAACTGAAAATAAGCGTAATTTGTACTAGAAACTATATGTGTGTGTAGATTGCTAGATAGACAGATAGATAGATAGATAGACAGACACAATAAATTAGTTCATGGATGAAGGTGTAGATAATAGATACATACTCAGAAAAGGAAGGAATCTGACTACTTGTGGCTCAAGTAGTAGAACCCCTGCCTAGCAAGCAGAAGGTCCTGAGTTCAGGATGAAGGTGTAGATAATAGATACATA